TATATATATATATTTAAAGTAGTAATGTCTGCTTGTTTGTTTGAATGTCCAAAAACTCAGGAAATTTTTATTTGAAAACTCAGTGGAGCCGAGCGGGGGAAGGCTGGCGGCCGTGAGCCACCACTATGTCCCCTTCCGTGCCACATATCAGCTTTTTTTCTTTCGGTAGTCATGAGTCACACCACTATTTCCACTTCCGGGCCACCACATCTGACTCTTCCAGGCAAAACTACTTTTTTAAATGGTATATTTAGAACCTTTCAAGTGTGATTTTAAAAAATCCAGTCGCGTCACGCAAAAAAGCACAACTCAGGCCATTTTTTCCATTCTACTTAAGATTACTATTTTAATATATAAAAGAGGTGGTTTATTTTTAGATTTTAGCAGGTAAACTAAGTCATTTTTCGTATTGTGGGAGCAGAGAAAAATTGTTCAGAGAAAAAGAAAATATTATAAATATCACAATATTTACTGTCACTTAGGCGTTACAGATTTTATACAAAAAATTTTTGTATAAAAACACATTGCACATTTTTACACAAGGGTACCCTTCAAAACTAAATTGCATTTTATGGTGCGTCATTTTTAATATTCATATTGCTCGTAAAAATAAGCCATTTTTTTATGAAAATCAGAATTTAGATTTGCAAAATAAAAGCTTTGCAGTTTACTTTAAAAGAAATCATCCTTCTGTCATATTAACACTTAAATATAAAGATTTAAATATACATTTTTTGCGTGACAAGGCTGAATTTTTGAAAATCAGCTTTGAAAGGCCCCAAATGTACCATTTAAAAAAGTAGTTTTGCCCGGAAGGGAAAATAGTATTGGCTCATGGCTGCCGGAAGAGAAAAAAGCTAATATGTGGCATGGAAGGGGAAACAGTGGTGGCTCATAGCCGCCTGCCTTCTCTGGAGCCAAGGTAATGTACTTAGCTTAGTTTAAGAATTCTAAATTGAATTGATTAACTTTAATAGAGAACAATAAGTTTTCAGCCAAAGCTTGGTTCATAAGCTACAATGTTTTACAAAAACGTTTAATTTTTCAAAAATATAAAAAAACACAATTTAGTTTGGAAAATGAGAAGGATGATCGCAAAGAATTTCGAAGCTAGGTGGGTAGTGAGAAGGAAGTGAGGGGGGGGGTGTAGTAAGTAGAAACAGGAGTAAGGGGGGATAGTGGGATAAATCTAGACGAAAAAGGAGAGAGAAATGTCCCTCAAACTAAACATATATATATATATTTGTATATTTTCGTATATATAAAAATATATATGTTTATATATATATATATTGTGCACAGATACATACATTGCATTTAACCCTAAATTGTATT